GACTTCACAGATCTTAAGCTATTTCTAAGCAATGGTCAAGATTTTGTTGCAATGTCATTATACTGTAATAGAATGGAAATCTCTCACTTGTGTAACAGTAACCTGAAAACACGGGAAAAGGCCTGGTCCCAGTACCAACCTGTGGGTAGAGATATGAAAGTACTGGTCAGGAAGCAGCCTGCATTCCTTTGCTCAATCACAAAAATATGTCAGTGCCGAGCTCCCTCAAGATGCCAGCATAAAAAACGAAAAGAAATACAAGCCATTGAACATGATATTGAATAGGGACTGCATGCTAATTACAATAAAATTATAGAATAGTGCATAAAACTCTCCAAAGATGCTGCTAATGACAGAGAACCTTTGTCTACTGTGTTTAGATGCAGGGAAGACAAAAACAAAAATGTGTGCGAACATAAAGAAATGCATCTTTTATTTACCTCTGTTGGTTTTGGGATGTTTAAAATGGGCCAATTTGTCACCTAAAACCAGTTGTTCATCTTGGTTTCCAACACTAGTTGCTGAAGCTCAGTTTTACATGGATTTTCTGTCTTGCTTATGCATATTGTAAAATTTACATGATCTTGATAGGTCGATTTATTATTGCTTGATAAAATAATATACGTTTCTGTATTTTCATATTCATTTGTATGTTTTATTGTCATTTTTGAATACGTGGGTAGTAACTTTTTAAATTATCATAGTATAATTCCATAAGCAATAAGTTTACTAGGTGTACAAATTGGTTACTTGGAATAATAATGCTAGACCATCGTAAAAGGGGCTTCATGAATAAAATGTTATCTTTTTTGTTGATGTTTTATTAACAGTAGATGTGAGTTTAGTTACCTTGGGCACTTCGTATGTACTTATTGCCATGGCTGTTCTTATTTATTGCAGCTTTCAATCTTCCTGGAAGTTGTAGACTCTGAGCTCCAACAGGGCAAAAAGTATTGAAGTACTTGACTATTCTGGAAAAGGATAGAGAATTCATATACTGCATGTTAAATTTCCTTGTAGTGATTACAAGAAGGGAAGCTAGGAAGAGAAAAACAAGTAGGGAGGGAACTCAAGATTGAAAGAAAGGTCCCTTTCAGTGATGCTGACTAAACATACAATCCTGGCAAAACCTGTATTTCTATCCCATTGTTACGTTTCAGCTTTTTCTGTGATATATCAGCATGAGTCACTGCATGTCTTTTATAGTAAAAGTATTCTGAGGTTATATTCCTAAACTGAATATCGCCGATGCCAGTGATTTGAATAAGATACATAGCATTTGGATGAAAAAAAATAGTTGATAAGTTTTATTGTTGCTAAAATCTTTAATACAAAAATTGTTACTAAAAATTATGAAATATACCACTGAATATTCCCCTGAGTTGTAGTTAACTGTGCTGCTGCAGAGGAACAGGTGTTGCAGTATGAGAAATAGTTTAGTAAGTTGGAAGAAAAAAATGCCATCACGTTAAATTTCTGATGCACTTTAAAGGCAAAATGGTGCTAAAAGTCAAGTGGGAAAGAGACACAAAAGTAGGAAATGGGTTTCAAGGCTTATAAACGGACTATTAGAAAGTCAAGAGATTTTTGCTGCAGAGCTGCTTTCACTAAACAATTTACTTCCAGGAATAAATAAATGATATATCACCATAAATACACAATAGACATTGCCTTGGGACCCTGATGGAAGTGTTTCTTTTTCTTTTTGATAATGCCTTTAAGCTATTCACTGTGAACGTTAAAGACTTAACCTCTATTTTTTCTATCCTTCTTTTTTTTGTTATTTAATTATGTTAATCTTCAAAGACTGTAGTAGCAGTAGTGGGAGAATGAAAAGAGGGTCAAGAGGTAATAAGTTCTAAAAGAAATTACAATTGTTACTAATTGTCATAGCAACAAAGGAGATGTGGGGAATAATGGTACCTAGCAAGGAAGCAAAGGAGTGGAAGACGTATCTCAGCCGTTCTGTGGCTTTGGGCAGACCAATCTTGAAGTATTTTTGTTTTATTATGAACGTACATGTTTTCAGAAAAATATTAGTGTTAGGAGAGATCTGGGAAGCAAATTAATGCGCCTCTTCTTGGATGTGCTTTTATGCATTCCTGAGTCTGTATCTGTGGAGCAACTGTTTGCAAGTCAGTATTCTTCCTTGGTGGTGGATAAGGAGAAGAAATAGGCTGCTGATCTGTCAGAATAGACACATCTCATTTCAGCTAGAGAAACTCCCTCTGTCAAGTGTTCATTTGTACGTGTAAAGGAGTACAAACCTTTTAATCTTAGTTCATCTCACCTGGTGGAGTTGCTTCAGCTTAGAAGATGAGGCAAAGGTGTAGCATATATATACTCAATTAGCATGAGACCATGCTCATTACTATTGTTACGGAGAAGATCAAAGAATGTTTAATGTTGCTAACAATATGGATTAATTTGGTTGACTATAATATATAAAATAATGCTAAGGAACAAGCCTGTATATTTCATCTTTTTTGCTGTTTATCAGTACTGACATGAAAAGCTTTTAGATGTTTAAAATTGCAGGGTTTGTTTTTCTGGACTTTTTCAGTGGAATGCTTTTATGTATAAAACAACATAGAAATGAGTTAAGTTGTACATTCTCGGAGTATAAATTATTTTGACTGACTAGTATGTTTAAAGTAAGTGAACAATAAGTTCTTCCATTGTTTAGATGCTGTTTCTTTACATTTATCTGTTCTTAACTTGAGATAATCGCAGAATTTCAAGATTTGGGAGGGACCTCCAGAGATGGAGTCCAAGCTGCCTCCTAAAGCATGTTCCCTCCCATAGGTCACAGGTAGGTGTCTAGATGAGTCTTGAATATCTCCACAAGGAGACTCCATAGTCTTTCTGGGAAAACGGTTCCAGTGCTCCGTCGCCCTTACTGTAAAGAAGTTCTTCTGCTTGTTTATATGGATAACCATTGATTCTCCTTCTGAAAAAATTAGTTGGACTAGAGGTACTTCAGTCATGTCTCTGAGAACAGAAAACAAAATCTAGTAGTGCCTTGCTGCTTCTGTTTTGTAAAGTATTTGGGTACTATCACATTAACCCTAAATGATATTTTCAGTCTTCAGTACTACACAAGCCTCAACAGTGATTTAGAAGATACTTAAGTTTTAGGCTATCTGTAACATTGAGCAGTGCGTGTTGTTCTGCTTCGGTTTAATACAGAGAAACTTTTTTTTAATTTTAATTAAACTATTTTTACTTTGGCTTTGTTATAAGCTAACTTAAATCCAGACTAGAAAGGTGTGTGTCAGTGTAGGTATTGGGTACCATAACCTGACAAAATGCATCTGTATCCTGTATTCTGTGTAATTACTATGCTTGTGTACTGGACTGTAATAAGTAATTTGGTTATTGAAAGTCTGCATTTTGTTGGCTTGAAGATAATAGTTTCTATGAAGGCGGCTTGCCAGCAGCTCTCCGATAAAAAGAATAAGATGTTCTGTGTTAGATGCAACTGTAACAGTCAGGTGATGCATGGAGCACTGCTTGTTTGTTGTTGGGAGATTTCTACACTTGACAGTTGTTACTTTCTGTGCTTGGTATCTGTAACTATAAGAAGAGCGTTTACAATGGGTTCTGCATTTCAGAAGAGGTGTTTTCATGCTAGTGGAAAGCAAGGGAAATGATGCAAAAGGTCCTTGTGTTGCCTATATGTTGTTTTTGAAAGAGCGGAAAACAGAATTTAAAGACATTATTACTCAAAAGAGTTGAATAAATGTAATAAGCTTTGAGTGTGAATAGGAACTGACATTTGTTGGGGTTGGGAAATACTTGAAATAATTAGAATATGAAGAAGTATGGTTGGAACTGAAGTCATAAAGGGCTTTTGCTAGTTTGTGGTGTAATGCTGTTACATTTCTTTGCTTTCCCTACAGCAGATATCTGTAGGGATCTCTAGCCCCCTAAAGCAGCTTGGTGCATTGAAACAATCACCTGATCTTTTACGTGCTGAAAATCAGTGTTTGTTTTAGATTAGAACGGGGAACATAAGGGATGTGTGTGGTGCCAGTGTATTGTGGACAAGTCCAATGTGTGTTTTCCTCTGTGAATGGCTGAAGAATCATGCTGGTTCTGGTATCACTTCTAGATTTTGAAACAAAATGCTAGCTGCAGAATGCAGGTCTTATCTTAGTTTAGACGTTTGTGACTGTGGAGAAAATCATGAATGTCATGTCAGAAGAAATGCTGTAGATGTACCTGGCGTTATGTGATTGTACTAATTTCCCTTACTTCAAAACCTTTTCCTTTTAATCATATCATACTAATTATAGATTCTTGACCATAGAATGAAAACATTAATGGGAGGAAAATGTAAGATGATAACTTGTTTTCATCCCTTTCCTAAACATCAGATTATCTGATAGAGACTGGAGAAAATAATAGCCTCTTCTCCTTTTCGATAGTCTGGAGAGGGACTAGAGAAAATTATTGCCTCAGATGATTGCAAACACAGTAAATCACAAAAAGAGCCCGGGGACCCAAGGAGCCACACCACATAGTCAGGCTTTCTTCTCTGTTACTATAAGACTTTATTGTACACACAGATATTTCAAAATTACTGAATTGATTGATCATACCTGGATTTTCAGGTAATCCTATACTTGTGTCTCTTTATGCCTTCGAGAAACAGAACTTTAGATCTCTGTTCAGATAATACTAGTAAGAGCAGATACTGATTAGAATTCCAAAATTTAATGAGAAACAGCTACTGATAATTTTGTGTTCTGCTTTCTTCTGTGTTTCGTTCTGTTAGTTTTTCCCTCTTCAGATATTCAAGATCCTGAAAAACAGAGAATAGTGCCAAATACATTTCTGTTTGGCCAAGTGTTTTATACTGTCTTCTCTCTAGTCAAATATAAATAGAAAAATTTAATATAGCAAATTCTTAAACTTATTTTCCAGGTTTGATTGTGTGGAAGAGATTTAGACTCAACTGTTTAAATGCTTTTGCTTATTTGTTTTGTTTTTATTAGGATGTTTTGAATAACTTGGGTTCCTGTGAGTTAGATGAAGATGACCTAATGCTTGATTTGGAGTTCGTAGAAGAACAACATCACCATCGTACTGGTAAGACAGAGAAATATTGGATATCTTCAAAGAGATATTATTATTCTAGGAATACGGAATATGGAAATGTGTTCAGTACAATTACTTGGAAATAATAAAGAATAATTTCCTTAGAAAGGTAGGAGCGGGTATGCATTTATTAGTTTGATTTGTAAATACCTGTGCCATTTGATGGAAAGGTACTCTTCAGCTTTGCTTTTTGCCTTCATGTGGTCAATTATTAAATGGAAATCTTCTGTACCTGTAAAAATTTCTTGTAACTGCACAGCACCAAAGGCAGACTCATGTAGTTTTCCAGATATTTACAGTGACTTCTGCCACCAGACAGTTGCAAAACAAACAAACAAAAAGACTGCTGATGCAATTGTAACTTGATTTCGTGCCTGCTGGAATAACATGCTTCAGACAAGCAGGCCTTGACTTGAGGTGTGAGTGTAACATGATTGCTTTCGTGCACTGCATTGATTAATAGCAATAGCGGTGGTGAACTGTCCATGTGCTCAGAAGAATTGTAGAACAGGTTTACCCAAACTCTTGGTAAATCAGGGCACTTGCAGTAGGGAATCTTGCCTTCCTTTTTCCATAAGCAGGTAAGTCCAGGTAACACAAAAAGACTCAATGAGCATAAAACATGTGAGATTTATACTTGATCACAATGTAGAGCTCTGAGTTTGTACTCTGTTGTGATGCTTCCTACAACGGTGACATGACAATGACATTATTACAGTGACTCTTGCTTTCACTTGCTATTTTCTAAACCCTTTTTTCTCCATCCACAAATGTATATATCCATACTGTACTTTTATGCAGACTCAGGTGGAAGAGAAGTTTCTGACAGTTATTCCTGCAGGTGTGCAATGTCTTCAGTTCTGGTCCCTCCTTTGCTGCAAATTTATGCAGGAAATTATTATAGACATATCATTGCTGATTGAATTATGCTCTTGTTTCCATTTTTCTCTGTGTGATAATTCTGTGTTGTTTGTATTTAGCCACTGTGTTGTGCCATTGCAAGCCTGTTTTTGCATATCTATTTAAAGGGAAAGACAACTGTCTCATTGTATTTGGTAAAAAGAAGAGTAGTATAGAGGGCTGTAAAAGTAGTTTTTGTGATCCTGAATAATTTGTTTCCTAAATAAGTGAGAGCTAAAAAGTTTGAGGATAAAACTAACTCAAACAAAGGTCATTTTAACCAGGAGTGAGTAATGCTACTATGGGGTTATAGAAAGCGAACACATGGGTGAAGAAACATGAATTGAAAACAGAAAAAAAACAAAAGCAACCTTTTTACAAGAAATCATAATGCTTAAACGTGATTATTTCCTGGGCCCACTGTGGACAAATTAACTGGAGGAACCATTTCCCATAAATAATATTCTCTATCATGTGCTTTGCCTTGTTTGTATTTTGTTACTTCGCATACATTCGTTGCTTCAAAAGTAATGCCTCCTATTTATTTCTATGGAGTCTACAGCAGATAGAAAGAACAACATAAATATTTGATAGAGCAAATTCTCATTTACAAAATGCTATTTTTGAACATAGTCATTACTGTTAGCTATGGTTTTTTGTTTTTTTTTTTACCAACAATAAACAAGAACTCACACTCCATGCTCATAAAAATCTACATGACCATCTGGAGTATAGCATGTTATTCACTGTCACTGTCACCACTGCTGAAGCACAACATCCACTGTGCTTGCATCCACTGTTTCTTTTCCATAAATATTCAGCAAGCATTGATAAATAGTAATGGTTGCCATTTTTTCTACATGGATTACTTAAATTCCATTCCTTTGCTACCTCTGCACTTCCATGTCAGACATCATTATATCAGTCTGCCCCTCTACTGCAGTTTGTCACATGGCAACAAAATGTAAGGGAATGTTGTTTGAAAGATTCATTCTCTATTGCCGTACTACTAACTGACCTCAGATGCTGTAGCCAATATAATAGCATAGGTGGCATTGCATTCAGGGCAGCCCTCGTATTTATGAAGCTCTGAATTAATGGTGACAGAATAGTTACGTCCATTGCATTATTATAAAAGATTTGTAGCAGCTTCTGGAAAAGCTAAGATAATAATGCTTGACATTCTTGATGAAGAAGTAATTCCAGTGGAGATGTGATATGATAAGTAGTCTTTCTACTCTCAGCTCGTTATCCAGAGCTATTTTAACTCTTTGAGTATATACGCCATCTGAAAACAGGAGTCGATGATTTACGTGGTATTTGATATTAGTTGATTTGTTGGACTTGTAAAAGCTTCCTTAAGGCAATGGGCTTGATTATTAGTCTATGGGTTGCTTCAGCAAAAATTGTTGAAGACAATCCCAGACATACATACAAACCTGTGAACCTCTTTTTCTCTGCTGGCAGATAATGCCCAAGATATATAGGTTTCAGCCCTACATTATATAAGCCTAATGTATTTAAACAGTTTTTTTTAGCAATACGTGTTTATGTTGATAACAAGTTCATTAAGTTCCTCCCCTATGTAAAAGGGTGTGTATGTTTGACATTCCCATGAGTGTTGCACTGTAGTTGTGGTCAGGTGGAAGTTACTGCATATAATTTTTTTCTCTTATCAAAATAGGAGCTTTGATTAGTATAAAAATGTGTCATGAACATTAAAAAAAAATGCTGTTTTTTGCATGGTAATATTAACTTCATTGTCTTTCTGAAACCTAACTTAACAATGCTACTGTGAATGTAATGCAATAAAAATCCTATTATGCTCTACATAATGATTCTGATCATAGCATTTATTAGGTTAGGGCCATAGGTCTTAGTTTTATTACGATTTACTTGTGCCCCATTGCTACACTTTGGCTCCTTATGAGAAAATCTGCCGGGAATTACTTTAATGGGAAATGTTCCAAGAGAAGTTCAGCTTGGTAATTTAACAAATATGTTGAAATATGATGAGATGTAATTGGAAAAAGAGTTCAGTTCCTTCTCTTACTGAGAGATAGCTTATGAATCAGGTAAGTTTCTATTCTTCAAGAGCCTAAAATAATCTGTAAGATGGCAAACTGTACGGGTAGAAGCATCACATCTTGAATAAAATAACAAAAATGTTCCTTGGTTAGAAGGCTGTATGCAGCTAGCTGTAACATTGAAACATTGAACAATTCTCAAGTGTAATGCTACATTTGGTAAATGTGATCTTTTGTTTAATGGCAAATTGACTCTTAACTGTCATTAGAAGGTCCAAGTTTTTAAAGACGTGTTAGTTAAACAGTGATTCACAATTGCTTCTGGTTTTTTTACCTGCTGTTATTGAAAGGAAGAGTAGTTGTTAGGGTGAGATATGTCTTTGATTTTTCTGCTGAAGTTGACAGTGAGTTGATAGTTTAATGAAACAGCTATGATTTATTGATCTTAATTTTGGTGACTGTTTTTGAGTAGAAAATGAAATGCTGTTGCAAGAATTTCTGGGAGAAATTTGTACTAAGGAATGCATTTTAAAAGAGGAGATACTAATTGGCAGGATAGGGAACATTGCTCTGTAAAGCAAAGCTATGTATGAATTAAAAAGTAGAAAAAGAGAGATTTTTGTGTTTCCCCCCCGTGTTTTTTTTTTCTTTTAGAAATAATAGAAAATATTCTTTTCCCCAGATAAATTTTTGTGTTCTTGTTTGTTCTCTGGTTGCCCTTCCAGACTATCTTCATGAAATACAATTCCTGCAGGAAGGCACTATGAACTGTGATTAGTACTAGAAATTGAAATAAATAAATAAAAGATTCCTTAACTTTTTAATGTAACATCCTTGGAGATGTTCAAGGTCAGGTTGGATGGGGCCCTAGACAGCCTGATTTAGTGGCTGGCAACTCTGCCCACAGCAAGAGTTTGGAACTGGATGACCTTTAAGATCTCTTGCAGCCCCAGCCATTCTGTCTGAGGATTTGCAAACCTGATACAAATGCTTCTACCTTGAATGTGAAGTTCTGTGTTCTGCAGGACTTACCATGGCCTTGCAGCTCTGCAATCCCTCATTTGTGACCTTCTCTCCTTTAGTGTGTATTAATTTATTGCTTTCACTTCTGTTTTTAAGCCTACATTGCTGCGAAAGAGATTATAAAATGGAGACAATTATAAAATGGCTCCATTTTATTATCCCACCTAACAATTGCTTTGAAATTTAATAAAATAACATTTATGTATACTTGGTGAATTGAGAGCACCACTCCTTACAAATGCAGAATATTAATCAGCTTGATTCACTGAGGTTTTCTCATACTGTTCTTTAGCTGGAATGCTTAAAAGTAAACATAGTATGACATACGTGATGAGCCTTGAGGGGGCTTTTTTATTACACTGAGTAAACTAGCCTTTTAAAATATGCTGCAGTGTGGATTTCCTGTTGTAAAATAATTAAGTTAGTGGTTTCTATAGCGGGAAACTGACCTGCTTATAGAAAATGACAGCAGTATTTTAACCTTACTCATTTTTGTTTTCCCTGTTGAAACATGATTTATATGATTCCAAGGTATTGATTAATCAAATATATAATGAAGACCTTTATCTTCAGTGATACAAGCAGTGGAGAATCCATTAATGTGGTAGGCACACATATAAGTGGATGAGGTGTGCTTATGTTGTGCATAGCTTATTGAGAAAACAAATATTTTGTTGTCTTGCTCTGTTGTTTTAATAGCTACTAGTATATAGCAATAAATAGCTACCTTTTACAATAACGTAAAAATGCATAGCCAATTAGGGTCACGTGTGATTATTTTCACTATCTGCCATACATGTCATCAAAGTGGTCCTGCTTCATTTTTTTTTTTTTTCCTCTCACAAAGACATTTGTGCATACCTGGGATGTACAGTGAGCAGCCCAGCTGATGTTAGTAAGAGCTGGTGGTACTGGGTGTACATGCATGCTCACCTCTGCTTTGGGCTCTGAAGCACACAGTGTCTGTTGCAGAGTGCAGTATTGATTAGCTGTGCATCCAGGCTGGCCTGCTGCATCCATCACATTGCTACCTGAATGCTT